CACAAACTTTTTACCAAAACATTTAATAAATTTTCTAAATTTGTTTGCATACATCGCTTTAGATACTTTAAAGTCAACACAGTCAACAAATAGAACAAGGAAAAAGTTAATGTATTTGTTTGTACGACTTATAGAAATAAGCACGAATGGCAATGCCCTTTTCCATCTAAGATAATGCGCAGATACAAATTTTAAGATACACAAGACAAAAACATAAATATACATACACATGTACATACCATCTATGATGCAGTAAATGTGTATTTATGTTGAGATACTTGAATGCGAACAACTTGGCAAATCTACAAACCAAACAGGGGAGAAAATATGAATAGGAACGCAGACTCCATACGCATCAGTCTCACTTAAAACCCTCTGACAAATATACTCACTTTGTATCTATAACAAACAAGATACAAATATACAACTACTACAATAATACAAAGTGCTATATATAAGTGCAGACTTATATGTATATATAAACATACATTTCAGCATACTATATCTATGTATGTAACTAGAAAATAAAGAAGATTTTTATTTCTTATCTGACAAGGCATTCATTACATTTTGCGAAAAAGTCATTTCAGTTGCAATGCCTGTAATATTATAATACAGCAATAGGAAGAAGAAGAAGAAGAAGAAAAAGTAGTAGCATCCCAAGTTAAACTCAAATACACAAAATTGCAAAGAAATTTCTTCATTTTTTTTTTATTTTCATTTCACTTTGGTCCCCCCAAAAATGTATCTGTGCGGTATATATGTATGCGCTGCAGTTAAAATGGTGAGTGTGTCGATTTGTATCTGAGCTTGGGGTTGAGGGTTGTTACACAAGTAAGCACAGTGAAGCACAGTGAAGCAATCAGTGAAAGATAGTAAAATCTAGCGCAAAAAAAATTATTTCTCTATCAGATGTGAAAAGGCACTTAGATAAGATACTTTTGTATTTCTGTATGTCATTATACATATTTTATTTCTTTAAGTAATTCCACTGCTTTATATATGACTTTGTTACATACTTCAAAATGCCAAAGTGTTTTATTTACTTAATGAATGTGTGTATATAACATATAATATAATGCTAAACCATAGCTGTATTTATTTATTATATGTGTTATATAAAAATATCTATTTGCATGTATTATGTGTATTATAATATTAATAGGCTAAAATTTATTTTATTTTACATTTGCAAAAAGATTTTTTTAAAAATTTTTGTCTGAAAATAAATTTGAGGACATAAAAGATATGAGAAAAATATGTTAAAAAGGTAATATTTATATAGCAGGTAATTTATTTACTTTTATTTGTATATTTCGTATATATTTCTAAACTAAATCTTTAAAAATATGCAAACTAGCAAACTGGAATATTAATTTGTACCAATTTAGTTTGGCATTCTCTGCAAATAAAAATAAATTAAGATATTTTTTTTAATCTAGCTGCTAAATAATATTTGGGTATATCAAGAGAGTAAAAAGATCATGTACTTAATTTGCACCAATCGTTAATTTTTTTAAACTATCAATCTTTTAAGGCTTCAATATTTTTCATAAATAACATTTCATTATCGGTAAAGTTAAGAACAAATCCGTGCTTTTCGAAATTTTAATACCATATTTTAAATTAAACTTATCGGTCCTCGAAAGGATATGTGTTTACGAATTGTTTTATATGCAATCCCAAAATGACTTATATTCTTACATATTGGTCGAATGAAGTATAATATATGTTAAATGTGAGTTCCTTCAATCTTCTCTAATCTCTATATATTAATCTTCGCTTTTCCCTATCCTTTACCCTGTCAGCCATGCAAGCAAGATGAAACAATATATAACATATGCTCAACAACACAACTCATCAACAACATTTATAGTATAGTAGAATTATAAGTAGACGTAGGTGTACACAACCTCATTCACACGTTTCCATGTTTCTCAGGCGAATGATATGGTTAATCTATCCCAATTGTTTAAAGAGTAGAACCTCGTTGATTCTGTTTAGGTCTAATTTCCTATATTAAAACTATAACTATGATTGTTGTGTCTCCATTTCTAGAGTAGTTCCTATCTCTATTATTAAGTCCTGTCTCTAAAGTTACTGTGTTTCTTTCTTTCAGGTTGCTGAATTTTGATATATTATTAAAATGTTAAAATCGTCAATACATATAAAAGAATGATTGTATTATATATATTATATTTAAACCACATTTGAAATTTAAATATTGACATTTTGATCTTAAATGCATGTATTCGAAAAGAAATAATAAATTTTAATAAGGCATTTCAACCTCAAATGGACGATTTTAAAATTTATTTCTTGATTTAAGCTTGAGATAAGCAAAAGTTACAAAATTTTAAAACGTAAACATTTTTGTTTTAAATTAAAATAAAAATTTAAAAATAATTTACTAAATTTCTGTTGCAAGTTATAGCTGTGGGAAAGTGCAATGAACATGATATAATTTATAAATAAATATTTTCTTATAAACTTATTTAATTTCTTGAAAATGAAATTAAAAATGGGACTATCAGGTTCTCAAAATACTCTCTACTTTGTTTATTTGCCTAATACTAAATAAATTTATTATAAAATTAATTTTATGCAAAAAAAAATTAATATTATAAAATAAATAACAAAATATTTCACAGGTGAAAATGTAACGACTTCCTTAAAAGCATA